AGAGCTGCTAGATACAAAATTTAAGTAATAGCCTTTTTGGCCCTGGCAGGCTATATGTCTGCCCTGTCTTCAGCAGAGCTCTTACCCAAAGACTTTCTATATAAAATTCTTCGTAGTAAATTAGCACTATTTGCACTACTGAAACCTGAGAAAAGCAGTCACAGCCTCTGCCAGTGGCTCACACTTTTTTTCTATTTGTGTCACGTCTAGGATGGTTGAACTTCTCAGACCCACTCCCTGCACAGCCCCCAAAACGGTGGAAGTAAAGTGGTCACAAAGAGGCAGGAAGCGTCTCCAAGTGCTGCCTCTGGATTTATGAGGCCCCTTGGCCAAGCCCTTCTCGATACGCCTTCTCTCAATGAGGCTACTTTCTCACACCCGCTGTCAGCAGTTCATCCTCCTCTTTCTTAGCATTGTTACCGCTTGCTTGCCTGCCTGCCTGCCTGCCTGCCTGCCAACAAGAGAGGCAATGAAGACAGTGGCGTCGGCAACTGTGCCTTCTCACCACCGCAATCCTATGGACCAAACTGAAAGACAGGTGAGCAAACAGGCTGAAAGGCTGCGGAGGAAGAACAACTCCAAGGGGCCGATGGGCTGTGGGCGCTGCCCCCGGCTGCCCCGAAGAACGACATTTACCCTGTTTCCTTTCTCTTTTCCTCAGGAGGATTGGGCCCAATGTGCCACCCAGAGAACGTGCGAGAGACCGTAGGAGGACCGGCGCAGTTGCGCGCACCTCCTCATGGTTGCTGACCCTCCCTCTCTGGGAGGCGCGGTAGGAAGGCCTGGGGCGAGCATGGCCGCGCAGAGGAGCAACAGAAGTGCGCGAGCGCGCGAAGGCTGCAACCGCCCCTCGGAGCAAGTTCAGTCCCCCTCCTCAGCTCTTCGGTGCCTTTCTCTCCCTGGATCGTGCAACTAACAGGATTGGGCCCACTGCCGGAAGGAATGAACGGCCAGCGAACCCGCCTCTCAGCCTCGCGCACCACCCCCTCCGACCGCGCCACGGATCCGTCCAGCCCACTCCGGCTCGTGCTCCGCCCCGAGGCGGGCCTGGCGCCTGCGCGGTGAGCCGGGAAGGCTGGGAGTTTGCAGGCGGGTGGTGGAATGTGCGTTACAGTTAAATAGTGGAACGAGCGGCTGCGGGATCGGCGAGTGAGAGCGTTTCTCGGATGAGGGAGGCTGATTGACCGACCCAGGCGGGAGGGGCTGCGGCGGTGGCGGCAGCGGCTGGAAGGAGGCTTGGGCTGGGCTTCAGCGCGTCGCCGTGGGATTTACCGAGGCAGCGAAGCTGACACGAGCAGCGCCGCCGGCCGGGCAGACAGAGGGGCTCCATGGCGCGGCGTGGGATCCTGAGCGGCTGCGGCACCGACAGCTCCTCCGCCACGGCTGTTAGCGGCGCTTAGTTCTCGAGAGGCGCCTGCCGCCTGCTCCCTGACGGCCGCGAACGGGCTCCCTCGCCTCGGCGCCGATCGTCCGAGTGGGCCGGAGAAAGAGAGCGCGCGCGAGCGAGCCGGGGAGCCAGCGCGGGGCCTCCGTCTCCCTCCCACGCGGCGGGTGTGCGGCTTTGGACTAGGCGGCGGCATTTCTGCCTCTATGATGAAGTTCAAGCCCAACCAGACTCGGACCTACGACCGGGAGGGCTTCAAAAAGCGGGCGGCGTGTCTGTGCTTCCGCAGTGAGAGGGAGGACGAGGTGAGCGCGGCGCGGGCCGGGCCGGGCCGGGCCGAACTTCCGCGGCGATGAATGGGGAGAAGCGGGGGCCAGGGCATGGCTGCCCGCCCCGCCCCCGGTCAGGGGCTGGGCGTCTCGGCGCCCCGCTCCTCGCTGTGCCCCCCTCCCCCTCACCCATCCATTCGCCTGCCCCCTTTGTGTGCCGGGTTCCCCGAACGACCCGGGCTTGTCGCCCCCTGGCGAGCCTCGCCGCGTCCTCCGCTGAGCCGTCCTCGGCAGGGCTGGCGGGGAGCGGATGGCTGGCCGGGGATGAAATCCATCCTGTCGTTCCCCTCCCCCGCCCTTCCCAAGGTCGGCTCGCGTCGGAGGGCTGGAGGTTGCGCTGCTTCTGCGGGCCCCGGAGGGCAGGTGACCTCCGCGACTGGGTGCGACTGCAGCGCCCGGTTACTGGGGGAGGAAAGAGGAGAGGGCGTTGCAGAAGGGAGCCGAAAGTGTGCATGGCCTTAAAACGTGGTTTGCGCGAGCGGCTAAAACTAAAATGAAGTCCGTTTGTCGTACAGAAGCGGATCTACCTCGAACACTGCGCATCCTTAATAGTCTTGTCACTAGCCGGACAAATCTGGCTGTCTCCGAAAACGGCATGGTCTGAGTTCAACGACCTCTTTGGAGCCGGGAGATCAAGTTGCTTTTGTGACTGTCACCATTTTTACAAACAGCTTGCCCCCGCCACCCCCACCCCCGCCACCACCATTTGCCGAACAGACAGGTAGGCGGCACTCGTTGCTATTTATACAACGGCAATCTGCATAACTGGCTCTCAGAGAACGGGATCTCCTGCCGCTGTCCCATCTTGGCTGCTTTGCGATGTGGTCAGAACGAGGATAAATTTCTAATAGCCCAGTGGTGGTTTGTTGTTAAGTTACAATAGTTCAGGTAGCTTAAAGGTAGAGAAGTGATTTTATAACCTTGTTGCATATTCCACTGTTAAATGCCACACTGTTTCAGGAAAAAAATAAAATACTATGTAAAGCATAAATGTTGATTCATTCATGGCAAGTTCCTATCTGTAGAGATACTTACTGCTACTATTGTGTTTTTGTGTTAGTTCTTGGACTTCAAAGCAAAGTAGCAAAGGGTAAATAAATACCTTATTATAAAATGAAATACTATATCTATTGAAGACACAGATAGTGAACTGAAGCCATTAGGGTTTCTCCATTGCTTGTGGGACGTATCTGCCTGCTACTAAAGGTTCAGACCTAATGCCTTTTCTGAGTAACTGTATCAGTAGCTTATACTCACTGGTTAAGAATATGTGTCCATAAGGATATGTGAAATATAAATCTGGAAAAACTGGATGAAAACCTCTGGATTAGCATTTGAGACTCAATGGTCTTTATTCCTTAGTCTCAGTGAGTCTCTAAGTCACAGTTTTGTGCTATGTGTTAATGTAACTCTTCAGCTGTCACTTACTTCCACAAAGGAAATGTTGATAGTAGAGTTATACAAACCAGCTAGTAAACTACCCACTTTCTTAACCAGGTGCCATTCAGAAGTTTTGGAGCACAACGCTCACCATTGGTCATGCTGGGGCTCAGATATCTGGAGACTGGTTTACCATGTATATCTATCTGAGCAGACATCTGCAATATGATTTCTTAGTGGTTTGAACATAAGAAAAGAATGTGCTTTCCTTAGCTAATCTGACATTGAAATCATTTTGCCCACACTAAATGGCAAGGTATCTGAGCAGTGCTAGTTGCCATTTGGAGATGCTATAGAGTGGTAGGGAGAAATCAAGATACATCTGCCTCTATAACACAGCATCCCTGACTTAAACTTTGCCAACACTAATCGTATAACCAAGAGATAGTTCTGCCAAAACCAGATTTGGCTGTATCAGCTGTTGAAAAAAAAAAGTCTTGTGTTGTATGATGCAATTTTATACTGCTTCAGTACAGTTGGATCTTGCTTCTAGAAGTGTTGGACAAGAAGTTCCTACACCATACATACACTATAACTGGGCCATACAGCATGATTAAAACTTTCTTAACTAAATTGGGCTGTGACTGCCAGCATAAGCCTAACTGTTTCTCAAGAGATCTTGCCCTCTGTCTCTCTTTCAGCATTATGTAAACATGGTTGAATGGTTGTGGCAGCTACCATAATGTGCCTGTCAAACACTGCAAATTTGGCTTCTTTCTGGCTTCTGTATATAGCATCTTTATAAACAATTTCCATCCATTTAAAAGTGACATATAATCAGAAAATTCAGTTCTTGATGTGACCATTTGATAAGGAATCAATGTACATTTTTTCTTCGCATACTCCAGCCAATATCTACAGTATAGATTTGAAAACATTTAAAAACTTGATTTTAATTTACAATTTCATTTATACTAAATATTTTTTAAACTATGGTGAGGCTATTGGTGCCCTTCAGATGTTTTTGGACTACAATCCCAGAAGCTCCAACCAGGATGGCCAATGGTCAGGGTTTATAGATGGTCAGGAATACATACGGGGTACACCAGTTTGTTTACCAATGGCCTATATTTAGAAGATAAATGAGATTTAAACCTAGTTTAACCTTGAGACTTTTTAAAAATAATAGTATGCAAACTGAGGGAAGAAGGGGTGGAATCTGACTCCTGAAAAACTGCATTGCTGGTTAAAGCTTTATTTTATTTCTTGAAAGTTCTGGGCAATTAAGAGCTGTGCGTATTTTGCTAGAAGCAAGTCCATGTAAAGTTTGACTGCCTTATGAATAAGTGTGTATGGGATTGCAGTGTTAGCTTACTACTTGGCTTTAGTATATTATATTATATGGAGAAGAAATCTTGATCGCCTCTGAACAGAAATAATTGTGTCATGTAAAAGGCATGAGTGCTGTGAAGACAAAAATATTGTTTTATAGTTTTAGACCATACAAAGACTCTGTTACAAACTAATAAACCAATTTCAAAATGGGGAATATTGATTTCAGATAATTTAACTATTTAGAAGCAGTGCTGCTTACAAACAATAGTATTTGGTGATTTGAATTCTTCTACTTTTAGCTAGTCTATCTGTTTTACCTATTTATTGGAATCTAGTCTACCTGTTGGAATCTAGTCTACCTGTTTTACCTAGTCTACCTGTTTTACCTATTTATTGGAATAATAAATATTCTATGGTAGTGTCCATATACATTTCTAATTATATTCCATTAAACTTCATATTGATTTGTTTTTCACACTACCAACCTCATTGGATCACCCCAACTTTTGATGTTGTGAAAGAAGTTAAAAATAGTATGATAGTCCAACACACTCGAGTCACCTTTCTAGTATGTAGTTCTGATATTTCCATGGTTAAGCTTCTTACACAGTACTGAGGCTGTAGAGGGAGCTCTACCCATTCTAAAAATTAAGATACCCAGAATCTTTTAACTACTGCTGAAGGTTTGCTTAGTACACTTTCAAGGCATAAGATAGTAACTGTCCTGACTGTTTTGAAGCTGATCACTTTTGATGCTAACAACTTTGGGTGAGTTACTTTGCAGATCCATTTCTCAAGGTTCACAAAAATATGCGAACAGAGATTGTCATTCACTGTGAATTAATAATTTCCTGTCTTATTGTGGAGCCTTTGCAAAACTGATGGCAATGAAACAATGTGTCATGGTTTCAGAAATAGTAAAAACAGTTGCTTGTTTCTTAATATTTTGAAACAACTTCAGGAAGTGTTTTCTTCTTAAAAGGACAGTTCTTTCCCCCAAAGAAGCCAGATTTCAGAAAATCCTGTGAAGAATTTTAATTCAGCATTCATACACTCTTAGTTTCAGTTTCAGTGTGACTTTTATGTTACTGTAAAAATCATAAGAGTCAATTCAGGTTCTGTGGAAATAAGCTGTGTTACAAGGAACAAAGCTATCATTGTTGTCCTTTTAAAGTGCCTGCTATGTCTTAGATGTCTGTGTAACAGTTAATACCATATAAAGTGTTGTGTCAGTAGACTGTCAGTATAGACTACTTGTGACTTTCACTTAACATTTGCAGGGACAAGCCAAAATCTCATTGTTCCCAGTAATTAAAAGCAATCTGGCCTTTCTAACCTTTTGACAGGCTTCAAAAGTAAGTGATACTTGGATCTAAATGTTCTTTCAATGGAAATACATTTTTTGCAGTAAAATTTCTCTGTACTTTTGGAGAAGGTTCAAAAGTCAAAATTGCAGGGGTGTTGAACCTCTTCTAGCCTGAGGATATGGACAAGCTCTTTGGGGCTGCATTTCAGTGGTAAGAGGAGCTACAGGCAAAGAACTGGGCCAAAATCCCATCCTACTGTAGTTTAAAGCTCTTAATGCCACTATTAAACATTAACAACATTTCAGCCCTTTAGAATGAAAGGAGAATTGCACAAAACCTGGAAAATGATGAAGCAGTTACTTGGTGGTTGGAAAAGAGATGTATGGCCATGCAGAGAACCATAGTCAGGCGAGATTTGGACCATGCAGGTGCTGCCAGTGATGTGAGTTGGAAAATCATCCACCATTGGAAATATTTAATTTTCCAGTACTTAATTTTTTTTTCCGCTGAATATGTTCTGTTTCATAAGTTTATTAGTAAATATGAATACATGTCAGCTGCAAATACAATATGAAGCAAGCCTGCTAGTTTCAAAGTCATAATATTTTTTCAACTAATTATCCTGAGCACACATGCATATGTCATTGAAGTACATAAATGTCTCAATGAAATGGAACTAAGAAATAGTGACAATGAAACTTGAAGGCACTACAACAATCCTGTTGGAACAAACTTGAATTCCATTGAAATTGATGAGTGGTTGTTAGTATATAAAGAACAGTGTTTCTTTGGATTTCTAAAATATATTGTGTCAGCTGTTTTCATCACCTTTATTTTTTTTCCTTAATTTTAAACAATATAGCAAGTTCATGTTATTGTCTTTAAATTTTAAGAGTAAGCTAATTAAAAGTTGACCTAGTAGAACATTTAAATCACTAAGTATGCCTCAGATTT